CGAGAAAATCAAAGTTAAAGTTTATGTAAATCAACATGAATCTGTATCACATATACAGATACGACACGCTTATGATTTTTCTTTGTGTTTTCTTCATGAATTATTAATGAGTTTTTTAATATTTTAAACAGTCAAAACTCAAAACATAGCAGGCAATATATTTGTCAATGACAATGAACAATGTCACAAGAAACTAATGTTCTCCGGAGATATTGAATTAAATCCTGGTCCTGTATTTCTGTATTAAACTCTGTTCGATGTTATCAGTCAAAATACTTATACATTTTGGTTTTTACACATTAGAGTTTATAATAATTATTAATTAAATTAAACAAATTACAAACAGTTTCAAATGCTAATAAAAGAATCCCCACTCTATTTTGCTTTCTAACATATTAAATGTTTTTGTTTAGAGATTAATGCAAGAATGGTGAATAAATGTACTGGATATGGGCTAGATAATTTTGTCAGAACAACCCACTTGCAAGACAATATTACCTAAATTCATTAGTATGGATAATAACTTAACAGCTATAATAATCATATATTATATGGATGGATCAGATCAATGGCACACAATAATGTACAAAACTAAACTTGTGATACCTTCTACTCAAACTGATATTCTCCCACAACACAAATTGTTTTTGTGTGGATATGCTGTGTTAAACCGAACAGTGTGGTATATCATTAACTGTGCACAGGATTGGAATTGAATTATATACTTCACTCATGACCTTCAAAACATTCTCTACTATTCAGTGGTCTTTGATATATGATCGACTCTTTGCTACAGTAATGCATGTTCCTCGAATAGTGTGTATGTTACTCAACAGTTAACATTGGCAAGTGTAAACAACAAGTGACAGAACTTTTGCTTCATATGATCACAATAAAGTTTTGAAAATTTTATGAGTATGGATTGACAAGTGACAGTTTACTAAATGGCCGGCTGTATAGACACTTTGAATATTGTTTGCATGAAATTTTTATTTCCTGACTGCATAATTATCCGCTACAAGCATATAATCACATTATAAAATTAGTTAAATTTTAGGGTGTGGGGGGGGGGGGTAATTGCCCCTGCTACCCTATGTGCAGTGTACAGCCTGTTAGATTTGTATTATATGTTTGATTTTAAAATCTTATTTGCTATTATATTTATCATAATAAGTGATGAAAGCAGGGAAGCTTGTAAAAGTTAGGGGGGCGACTCCCACAAGGTGCCACCATGGTTGGCGCTGAGGCCCCCTGGCTTCCTACGCCCCTGGATGAAAGTAGACATGGGTTTTTGTTTGGTGGCCCATCCGTAGACATACAAAATATTTGGTGACCCATCGAAACTGCCCAAAGATTTTCCATGGCCCATCCCAAATCACTCCGGCCCACCCTAGCAGTTATTTTATGACCGGTCCCTTATTGCAAATTTTTTTTCTTAAAAATATCAAGTTATATTAAGAGCCCCCCCCCCCCAATCGCCACAAAAACCATTCTCTCAGAAAGGCTAAATCCGTAGAGAAATTGGGGGTGGGGGGTACACGTTACATGCTCAAAGTTGAAACTGATTAAGTATGTCTGGACTGAGGAAAAAGACTATATACTGGAGGAACTTGATTTGTGAAATCTCGTTAAAGCAGTTGTAGATATGGTTCCAAGAAGAATTGATTTAGATAAAAATCTATTTTTAACTTAAATACATGTATGCATCACTCATAGCATGAATATTTCTTCTCAGCAGACTTATTCTGTATCGTATGAAAAAGTAACTGGCGCAATTTTGAGAATGCGGAAATGGTGTCGATCTCATAGAACCTAAAATGATTTAAATGCAACATTTCTGATCAAAATCACATTGGTTCCAGCATCAATGGTGAGAGGAAATAAGGTGAAAAATGCATGAAATCGCAATTCAGGGACCCTAGATTTCAAAATTTTCCGGACCCCGGACCCTCCTAAGGTTTGGCTACGCCACTGGTTATAGCTGTACGATTATAGCTATAAAGAGTTGAAGTTATTGTTTAAAGTAAAATAGAGCTGAAGTTAATAAATTAATAAAGTTTTACAAAATCTCTCTTCAGACTCGTGCGTTCGCCAAACCTCGACAGCTCATATTTTTCGTTCTGCCTTTTTTCCTGTTTTGCCCCCCCCCCAGTGAAATTCCTTAAAAAAGGGACTGACGGCTTTATAGAGTTTGGTGTCATCAGCGAACAAACCGACCCCAGTAGAGGAGGGTAAGTAGTTAGGTAAGTCGTTTATGTAAACAGAGAAGAGGAAGGTACTCAATAATGATCGTTGTGGAACGCTAGATGTAATAGGCAAGGATTGTGATGTAGCTCCATGTTCCAAGACGCTGGTGTATACCGAATGAAAGTACTCGTTAAACATTGATGCAATATTATGCGGTGTGGATGCCTGTGATCTACTTTCAGGATCGTTCGTACAAATTCTCGAGACTGAGTTGGGTACACTTCCAGAACTTGACTTAATTTTGAAGATGGACCAAAAACGTTTGGGATTAATCTTTAATGTACTGCCTAGGGATTGGAAAAATGACTTTCTGCTTTCTTTAATTGCTTTCTTGACTTGAGCTACTTGACTAGATAGCCAGTTCCTCGGCTTAGGTATCTCTTACGAGTGATAACTTTCTCACGGATCTGATGCAAGATGGTTGGGGTTATCCACGGAGGTGAACGTCTTGGGTTCACATGTCAATATTTGTTCTTGATTCTCTCATAGGGATGAGGCAGAGCTGAGACATGACAGAAGTAATCATCCAAGATATCGCAGAAGTTTTGACCCAATGTTCCAGTTGATGTATGGTTAGAATCTGTCCAAAAATATTTGGAAGGTTGAAATCACCAGCAATGATGATCTTGTCGTAATTTGGAAATAGATTATCAGCCATGGATCTAAGATCAGACATATCTTTACTGACAGGTGGTCTGTAACACAAGGAGCCATTTTTCGTGGTTTGGTAGAGTGCATTGGATAGTAATAGCCTCTTATAAGTTAGAAGTCAAGTTTGTGTATATGACACTGAAATTGCCTGATTCCGGTGTTTCTTGTATTGAATAATATAGATGCCTACTCAATTCTCCTATGCCTGCCACCTAGGCATGTCCCAGGTAAACATGAAACATGGTTTGAGAGAATTTATCGACTTGTTTTAAATCAACTGCTGCTTTCATGGCAAGGGTGTTAATGTTTTTTAATTACAAATTTGACTCCAATGAGCACAATTTTCAGCACTTTGTTGAATAACATACCGGACAATTTTATTCATCAAGGGAAGTGTCTAGCTAGACTCTTCCCATGTTGTGTCTAGCTACACTCTTTCCATGTTTCATGTTATTGTTGACATATTTTTAAAGATGGAATTTTCACTCCATTTTTTAAGTACTTTGCTATTTAGGGTACATCTTCGGGTAGAAGAATTTGCATCACAGATTACGTCATCAGTTAGTTGTAGTGATTGGTGTTGATGTTAGGGTAAGGGTTAGGGTAAGGGTTAGATTAAGGATTAGGCTTAGAGATAGGGATTGGGTTATATCTGACGCCACAAACAACACAACTAGCCGATCACGTGATCAGTTCACATCTCCTCTACCCGAGGAACTAGCCGCTATTTAACTCTCACGCTAGACAATTTTGCTTATCGACTGTGGACTGCTTGCCCATATTTCACCTATATATTAACACCTACGAAACAATTTTCTTTTATGTTACCTACTTCAAGTTCTTTGTAGGGGTGTGCAGGATAGAGTCGTTTTACTATCCAGCCAGATACAGGATATGTGTTGAATAGTTGAAAAATACACAGCCAGATTCAGGGTATATTAGGGGCCGATTACATGGACCAGACTATCCCGCTTTGCCGGGCTAGCCCGATTACTATAATAATCTCATATCAATTTTGATTTTCAATTACGTATATGGCAGCCGGGCCAGCCAGCTTTGCCAGGAATCGTGGCTGTCGCAACCGGGCTGGCCCGGCTAGCCCGGCCGAAATTCGCTATACAGTGTGTATAAAAAAAAACTGAACCCTTTCAAATTCAAATTAGCTATAACTTATTGTAGTAATTTGACAGCTCTAATTGCTTTGAATTAATGGTTGGGTAAGAACACAAGGTCTTGTACTCATGGGACGAAACTCAAAGAAATAAAAATTAGAAAATTTAAAAGTTTTTAAGAGTTTTGTCCCATGAGTACAAGACCTTGTGTTCTTACCCAGGCCAACCATTAATTCAAAGCAATTAGAGCTGTCAAATTACTACAACACGTTATAGCGAATTTGAATTCAGTGAAAGGGTTCAGTTTTTTTTTATACACCCTGTATATGTAATTGCTTCAGCCCAGCATACCGGGCTGAAAATTGCAAACGCACGGTTTTTATTTTGAAAATATTAACAAATAATAGCACAAAAATCACAATTTGTTTTGGTGTAAATAGGTAATGGGACAAGTACTGGTGTGAGACATTGTGTAACCTAAATCATTATAAGACCAGTATTCAAATTTATTGTTATTTACTTCAACTTCAATAGTATGAACTGCATGTACGTGATAAATTATGGCAATAAGGATTATAGAAACTGAAGGAGGGGTGAATTGGTTAATTGGAAACGATAAGTCGAGAGATAAAGGAGAGAAAAGGAAAGGCAACCCTGTACGCGTTTCGACCTAACAGTCTTCTTCAGCAGGGTTTTTTAAAGGGGGGTGTCAGTAGAATTTGCAGAGGAGAATGAAGGAAAGTTTAGGAGTTCGGTGAATTTTGCAGAAGAGAATGAAGGAGAGTTTAGGAGTTCGGATAAACAATGGCACAGTAACAAAAATGAAAGGTTGAAGGATAGTGAGAAATGATAAAACTACTGCACATTACAAGTCACGTTATCCTACCAAATGTCTTGTTATGGCGAGACATACCAACACCACGCATCTTGCTGTTCATCTTTTTGTTTTGTAAATTAAAGTGGAGCAATGAATTGGTCCTTTCAAATTGTAGTTTACTCAATAGTACAGTGAGTATGAATGAAGTGATGGTAGGGGTGGAGTAGGATTTATATCATAGTATGATCATGTGACTGAAGGTGATTGCATCCTATTATGGTGAAGGGAGCTAATTAGATAGGGGTAGGAATGTATGGCAGTAAGAGGTGATCAGTAGGAATAAAAAATAAATAAATAATTACACTGTGCAGGGTTGGATCTTATAAAATTATGAGTATACATTGACCAAAAAACTGAATATGTACATATAAAATTATGAGTATACAGTGACCAAAAAACTGAATATGTATATATATAACAAAGCCAAACAAGGATAATAATATTAATCCCCGAGCCGGCGGCGCGAAGCGCCGTGCGAGGGTACTAATTCCCCCCGGCTATTTACACCCGGGGAAACGAAAGCATTAGCGAAGTCTAAAGGCCGGCGCACACTAGAGCTATGTGCTTAGCAAAATGTCATTCGTGACTGTTGGCGTAAGGAGATAGCTCTCGTGTGCGGGCGATTTACGAACGACTTTTGTCATTCGTGCCACTTACGCCAAATATCTAACATGTTTGATAATTTCTGCCTCGCGTGCCAAAATCTTTCCGTGTGCGGCGAACGAAAGCTATCTGCTTACGGATTGTCGTAACAGCGCATGAGTAGTATACGAAAGTAAACATCCAAGATGGCGGCGCAAAATGAATTGCTGGCCGAGGCAATTTTAGAGGACAAACTTACTGGCTATTTCTTTCACCGCACATTCCCTTTTGTCCCTATTTCTAAAATCTGCAGAACTCACATCGTATAAACATTTGTATTCCGGCCAAAGTTCGACAAGTTTGTCCTCTAAAATTGCCTCGGCCAGCAATTCATTTTGCGCCGCCATCTTGGATGTTTACTTTCGTATACTACGCATGCGCTGTTACGACAATCCGTAAGCAGATAGCTTTCGTTTGCCGCACACGGAAAGATTTTGGCAC